GGTGCGTACTCACGACACACCACCCCACGAGAGTCGAAAAAACTGTCAACATGACCTTTGATATTGCTGCAGACCTGCCGCGCTTTTTTTTGGCCTCGAGGATCGTCCCCGAAAGCCTGCTGAATCTTGCGAATGATTTACACTCGGGTATCGCCAAGGTTTTTGGCAAAATTTGATGTAATACCGCTGCTCGCGTTGTTCAGTCATTTTTCAGCTTAGTGGAATCCGACGAGAGCGCTCTACATGACCTCACTCATAGGCCGATTGCCAACGACTGACGCTTCCTGCAGGCGGGAAAAAATTCAGAGATGTGCATGACTGTCTCCTCCACAACTCCACCAAAGGAGGCCTCTCGCGCATCATTGGTTTACGCGGAAAAAAATAAGGTCTGATACTTTTTGAACAGACCTTGTATATAACGAATTTTAATTAAGAAAACGTATTTTTTGGAAATTTTCTAGTGTTTTTCCTTTGGGGGATGTCAGGGGCCACCAAAGAAAGAAAGAAAAATTTTTTAGCAATTCTTATGAGTTATTTTTCTAATAGTAAAGATCCAAACAAGACAAGACAATAAACTTCACATTGAACGCCAAACCTTCATAATGTTAACGAATCAATTTTAAATTTCACGTTGTAAAACAAAGAATCTTACTGTAATTTAGAACAGAATAGAATTATTTACAATCTGTGCTGAAATACAGTCACATAATTGGAAGACGTCTCAATTACATTATTAGTATTAGTATTTTGTACTATAATTGAAAATTCTAAACTCTTTATTTTTAGTTTATTTACAAAGTTTATTAAACATGAATAATTTATTCTATATTATACTTTTATATAATTTCTGGTAAATATTATTCCATAGCTGGATGATCCAGACAGTAAAGGTATTATAGCATGTCATCTGGGATACCTGCATTCCAGTCTAGATTAGGAACTGTAGGAATTTTTCATATGTGGTATGTCCCAGATAACAGTAAACCCTGTCCCCCCTCATCAGCTGTTACCATTGTGGATCCAGCCAAACTCATGATGAATATGATTAAAGAGGACTTAGTGCCCTGTGGGCAAATAATTTTATATAAAGTGTAAATATAATTTTAAAATTTAGTCAGATTTATTATTGAGGCCAAGATGGAGATGTGAAACTAATATTGTGTACTTTAGCCCATCCTTTAAGACTTCTCCTGTCAGTTATGGATAAAACTTCAGAATCAGTAGTCCTTGAACTGAAATCAACTCCATTTTTGCATAATTGAGAAGAAAGTATATCCCAATATTTTTCGTTTACTATGCTGTCCATATATCTTCTACAAAAACACACATTTGATATTAATATATATATAAATTTGTGTACAAATGATTTCAATTAAAAATATTACTTACTTGCAATATTTAGAGTCAGGTATGCCATATACATTAATTTTTGAGCACTTTGCAAGATCGGCCACTCTAGCCGCATACCATAAAGTGGAAGGAAAAGCACCGGTTAATACGTAACTAGTTAAAAAAAAAAACATTAATACTTTACAAATAAACTTCATGAATGTAAAATAATATCTTCAAAACAGTGCTCACCCTGATTTTTCACCATATTTTTTCAATGATGAAAGTGCTCTGCGTTCACCTCTTCTACTGAATCTTAAAAAAGACATTTTCTTATATTTCCTTTTCATCTCTCTCAGTTTCATTAATATCCAGGATATATTTTCAGCATCGTGTAAATTATAATAAATCCATTTATCAACGGACAAATGTCCAGATACTAATTTATCCGGTTTCTTTAATAGTTCAGCTAATCTAAATAATAAAATATATATATATATATATATATAGCATGCAATCCTCTCTATATTATTCAATATAAGTGTGAGGAAATGAACATGCCATACTTTCTGCTATTTATAATTCTTGCTGTTGTTTTCTTTCCAACATTAGTTTCGAAACCACTTGTAGGTGACAATCCTATTCTGAACACACAATCATTTTTATCAATTGAATTTCCATTATGTGAATTCAAAAGTGTACCTAGAAGTAATATATATTCAACTTCAGAATTAAATATTAATATTATGAAGATATAATTTTATATGTATGAATAAAATATCTTTACATACTTCTAAACATTTAAATGTAAAAGAATTTTGACTATACTATAGCCATTAAATTAATTGTTAATTGACCGATGACATGTCACTATTTAAATGTAGATTTCGTTTATATCAACTTTTTTCAAGATATAAAAAAAAAATTTATTATTTTATAAATATAAATATTTCTATCAGAAATTAAAGCAAAATAGAATTAGATTAAAATCTATTGTATATGTTTATATTACCTGAAGTACCAACAATTGCACAGGTATTGCAAGTAAAATTAAGATCAACATCTTCGCCATTTACATCTGTAAACTCTTTATTACCGCTGATATTTTTACCTATTACAAATAAAACATGCATTTGAAATAATTCAAAATATTTTGTAATATTAAAATAAATTATTTATCTCACCTAATATACCTCTTCGAGCTACAAAATGTGGTTTAATATCTTCATTTAATTCTTTTCGTCTCATGACATTTAGAAGTGATATGGGATGAAGGTGATTAGTTTGAGTTCTCTCCTCTAACAAATCATTTGGAGGTAACCTATAAATTCTATCTTTTTGGTACAGAGCATATAATCCTAATACCACTTGTATAAACAAAATAGTTGCCAAAAATGCTGAGAATATTTTACATCTAGAAAACTTTTGCATCTGGGGAAAAAATTATATTACTGTTATAAATTTATACATAAAATTTTAATTAAGTCTATCCTAATTTCACATAAGAGAAAGATTAAATTGTTCAGGATCTATTATTAATTTTAATTAATAAAACCTAAAAAAAATTTAATTTATAAAGTATTAAATTTCTAAATAACTCTTAAATATTTTCAAATTGCTGAGCATTTTCCTCTTACATTCTATTATTTATTTTGTTATAATTTTACTTTACTTCTAAAATACAGTATGTAGCATAACTTGTTAACAATAATTGTTTTTTTCTTTTCTAATCTGTCCTTGTTATCAAGGATAAACATCTAAATAATGTCAATAAAGTGAATTAATTACAATAATATAAATAAATCAATACATATATATGTATGTATACACATACATACATGCATAAAGCTGCATCTGCATACAGAAACTAATATATGATAAACTATGATTATACATCTTACAAAGGAAAAAGGCATGCTAAGTTACTCATTTTTCATTATATATATAATTTATATCTCCCTTTATAGCATTCTTTTTAACTATTTCTTTTAACTAATCAGCATTTGGATCCACTTAAATATTTTACATACAACTTTTTAATGTTGAAATAATAATAATTTATTAGATACGTGTAAAGAAACATTCATTATTATTAATTGCTATATACATAACACACAAAAACCTAATAGTATTTACGTTATATTAATATGTCAGTGAATTCACTGGAATGCAAATTATAGTATTAAAAAACTGGGGTAGAGTATTTTATTCGGTAATAGACGAATTACTTCTTAATGGTTCCAGTTTAAATAGCCAGAAGGGAGCTTTTACCAAGACGATATTGTTCACGGAAGAAGTCGAATAAAACAAAAATTTTCGTAAATATCAAACTGATAAAACATTAATAAATTTTCGGAAATTTATAGGCTTTATATCGATACATTTTAACAAGAAAGAACAAGAAATTTCACACTAAACAAAAAAGTCATAATGGAAAAAAAATCGACACGAATCGATGCCCTAAAGAAATAAAGAAATCAAGAAGGTCAATGAACTGTAGAGTTTAAGAAAAAAAAATTAAAAATTACGAATTACGACGGTAAAATTATATATAATTTCAGTTAAAAGGTACAAAACAGTATAATAGTTAATTTTACACAGCATTAACCAATTCGATTTTATAAGCAAACGTATTAAAGAAGTGATTTTATAGAAGCCAGCGCTCCGAATGATGCAATAAATGCGACGATTGCTATTAGAAAATAGCATTAGAGGAATAATGTTATTTACAAATAATTTATACACATATATAAATTTTGGCATATATTTTATCATATAAAAATGCTTACTAGCATTTGTTTTTGCGGTTGTTAGCAATATCTCGAATTATTAATTTTGTACAAATAATTCCAGATTTTTCACTTCGTTGCATTTTTTTAAAGATAGATAAATAAATATTGCGAGTGTTAACCTGTGCTAACTAAAACTTATTCATTTATTTTCATTTTTTTTAAATATTATTTGATAACTTTAATGATTTTTCTAGCGCAAAATTTCTCGATAGTCAAGTACAAAACCTTGGAGTGATGGTCATCGTACCACGATCGTTTTTTTCCCCCCAAGGTTTTATTTTATTTATTTATTTTTAAATTTGAAAGTTAGCCAACTTATACTTAAGTATTTCCTTTTCTTAGGTCGATATATTTCAACTATTAAAAAATATTTAATTTATATATATAATTTTTTTAATAATTTAAAACATATACGCTTTAAAAATTAATTTTCCTTAAAATTTTTCATTATTTTTATGAGAAGTTGAGGAGGAAAAACACACCAAAAGCGTGTGGTAAAGTGAAACCAAATGAACTTAGTTTAGTAATTTTATACTAAAAATTTTACTTTCGTGCAATAAATCACTAGAATTAATTAAATTCGATTATTTTTCTTTTTTTATTATTTAAAAAAAATCATAATTATTCATTAATAATAAGCTTTTATTAACTAAAAACGCGTCATAAAAATATACAAAACAAATAAGAGAAGCCTATTAAAATTATCTTCTATTTTAAAGAAGAAAATTGAAATAAAAGAAGATAAATTTTAAAATGATTCTCTTATTTTTCGCTTAATGTTATTTTTTAAAATATAAACAAACTAATTGCCTTTACCTTTAATGATCGGACCGTACTTCTTTCAATGACGACCGAAACTAATTCACTTGCATCATCCATTGTTAACATACGCAACAGTCACGTGACTGCTGCTAACCTCCATTGGTTTGCTTAGGAGAAGCGAGTTTCACGTTCTAGTCAGCCTTGCATTATCCTTAATAGTTCGAGTTTTATTTTATAAACATAAAATTTCAAATAGAAGAGGGAAAGAAAAATAAATAAATAAAACATAACAAGGAACTAACTAGTAGTCACATACTAAACCAATTTTTTAATATCTTTTTCCAAACTTTTTCAGACGTTCTCTGATAAATAAAGCATGAAAATAGTTTTTTTTTGGAACTTTTAAACGAGTGTTATTCAATTTTACTATTAACCAATAAACAAAATTATATTTTATTCTTGTTATCTTAAACCTAATTTCACTGTTTCCATGCAAAAAACATACAAATAAAAATGTAATTATATGTTTTATTTTCATTTTCTGTCTGTAAATGTTTAAAATTAAAATAATTTACACAGACTCCTAGTTTAAAATATCATAAATAATATCTAATACTAGATATTTTTTATTGAAATAAAATTTACAAACATATTTAAAAAAAAAAAATTNTACTCACTAAATTTCTTAAATGAGGGGTACAATCTAGAGAAATGACATGTCACGGGGTACAATCTAGAGATATGACATGTCACGGGGTACACTAATGAAAAAAGGTTGGGAACCACTGATCTAGATCACTGACGCCCAACTGGCTGCCCCTGAAGTTGGCTTCTTACAGCAACACACCTTCCCTATCATCAAATGTCACGGCACACCACTGCAGACTACTCATTAATATTTCTATGTCTGACTCAAATTCAGACATAATATCAAAAATTGCATATTTTAAATGAATGAAAAAGCATTTATCATTTCAGTTTACATTTTGTTACTGTATTTGTGATTATTGTACCATAAAAATCATCAGTTGTAACTGTATATTTTCAAACATTCTATTTATTTTAATTAAAAACTTTATAGATTTATTATTGACAAATCAACAGTTTTGTAAATAATAATAGAATTGTAGATAAGCAATCAAACCCTTGGTTTGCTTTACTCCTTCAGTGAATCCTTCATTGCTTTAGCTCAAACTCTCCACACACTTCAACCACTTACCTAATGTAGACTATAACAAAAATTTAATGACAATTCATTGATTCCCAGTGCTGTTATTTCTTTTGACAAAAAAAGTGTCATGTCATTTAATTAAAACTAACTNTATATAACAATTTAGCAAAGAATATTTTGCAAAGCAGTCTATTATTTACTGGCTGTTAAATATTCATATAAAGAAACTATGTCTCCGTTAACAAGATGGATGTAGCTAAGTTAATGTCGTTATTTGAATTTCGAAGCGCTCTTATCACACTTTGACGATCAAAACCCATTTCAACTAATCTTTGCACCTGTAATTTTAAAAAACATAAATTTTATGGTAGCAAGAATATTGTTAAAATATAAGCTTAGTATATTTTGAAGGTTAACTTTTCATACCTGTTCTTCAACAACAGGAAAAGTACTTTCATTCTCAACATTAGCACTAAAATTCTCTGAAAGGAAAAGGTTTACATCATCTTTAGAAAATAGATTAATTGAAATTTTTTTGCTTTATAAATTGTATGTAATGCACTTTATCGTCAGATTTATATGAGAGAGTATACTTTAGTATATAAAAAAATTATTACCTCCCTGTAAACCTTCTTCTCTTGGATTGGGCTGTCTTCTTCTCATATTAAATACATTTTCCCATTCTTCTCTTCTGTTGTAATTCTGAAAAATTCCACCATCCTGCTGCATAAATCTATTAGCAAAACTTTCTGCAGATTGTCTGGTCTTAAAGATTATTTTTAATAAATTTTGATATTACTTGTTATAAGAAACAAATGTATTTTAATTTACCTGCATGTTGCCCCTTTCTCTGAATTCTTGAGCTCTGGCTAAAAGCATCTGTTCTTCGATTAGTTCAAGTTGTTGCTGTCGTTGAATTTCAAGAGTAGCCCCCATGGGTAAAGTTCCCTCTTGAGGAGGAGAGGAATTTAGAAGCCATTTTAATGTCAGTGCAGCTATTTTGGATAAGAAATCTGGAACCCTTATCCACTGCTGAATTCTCAAGACATTCCAACGACATATTAAGCCAGCTAACTAAATTAAATAGAATTATAAATTCAAATATTTGATAAAACTTAGTTAATACATTTTTAAAGAAAGTATTCATAATAGGATTTAAAAATTAGATAATACTATTACTGGTAATATTATTTTCATAGCTATTTCAATCAAGTGTTTCTTTTTTAATCTGAAGAAATTTAACACACACATTCCATTCCAATAGTATTTTTGTACTTCAAAATATTTATTTCATATTTATATAATAAATTGTATAATTAAAAATTAAAGCTCAGTTATTGACCAAAAATGTTTCTAAAATGACAAAGTAGCCCTTATTCCAAACACACCTTTCTTTGTAGGCTATTGTTGGAATTTGAAAGTTTCAATGACTCTACAGCTACACTATCACAATTATCACCTTATAAATTACAATCATATTTACATAATAGTAAAAAATTTTTAATTGTTTATTATTGTGTTAATGTATTTGTGATTTATAAGATGACAGTTCTGACAGATGTAACTACAAGAACTGAAAATCTTTCAAAAATTCTAGAAATGTAGCTTAACTAAGAAATATTCTAAATTTCACAGAAAACAAACATTTAAAAGTATAGTACTAAAAACTAAAGATTCAATAGAGTGTATTTCAATCTCTGCTGATAATTCATGCTGCAATATGATTTGGTAATGACTTGGTGCCCTAATTTTTTACCCAAGATAGGTTAATTCCATTCATTTTTCACCTGTTGTATCATTGATATTTCTTGTCTGATTTTCTCTATGTCAGTGCATGCCATATCATTCCATACATGCTCAATGATGGAAAAGTCTGGAACATAGCTAGCCAGAACAGTGTGTCAATAATTTGAAGATATACAACTTATGACAACTTTACGTGCACAAATATTATCTTGTTCAAAAGTGGATCCCTGTACACATCACTAACTCAACACCAGAGTGTATTAACAAAATCTTCAAACCTGTTACCAGTGTGTTCTCCCACAACAAAAAAAAATAAATAGGTCATTACTAACGTTCTCGAATCAAAAAAAGGTTCTTCTTCAGGTAACATTGAATTTCTGATGGAATGCCGATCAAAGAAAATAAAATTTGAAATTCGAACATGCGTTTCCTGATTATGTCTTAGGCATGTGCACTCAAGTGATTGATGGTAATCATAGATTTTTGTTCATAAGTGCCTGAGACACTACTGGTAGTTATTTCTTCTTTTTGATTGATGCAATTATTACTACTAAGGCTAGCTATGTATATGCTGGCAGCCTCTAACCACCTGAGGTGTTGTGCGTGCTATGTGGTGCAGATAATTCTGCACCTCACAGCACACACAACACAGCAGTTATTACTGCTAATGCTAGCATAAACATAGCTAGCCTTAGCAGTAATAACTGCATCAATCAAAAAGAAGAAATAACTAGCATGGCAGGTGCTTATGAACAAAAATCTATGATTACTGTCAATCATTTGAGTGCACATGCCTAAGATGTAATTGTGAAGTGTGTGTTCAAATTTCAAATTGTTTTCTCCGATTGGCATTCCATCAGAAATTCAATGTTACCTGAAGAAGAACCTTTTTTTGATTCAAAAACATTAGTAATGAACTATTTATTTATTTTTGCTTTTTTTTTTTCTTGTTATGAGAGAACACCCTGGTAACAGGTTTGAAGATTTTGTGGATCCCTGTAATTCAGCCAAAAAGGAAACAGCAACAGATCATAAAATGTCACCGATATACTGCTGTACTGTCAACCTACCAGTAATAAAGTAAAAAAATAATTTTTAAAATATTTTACAGTAAAATAAAATTAAAATATTTTAACAGTAATAATAATAAAATTAAATATAGAGACCAACAAAACAATTCTTTGATAAAATAGAAACCATTTAACAAATCTACTAAATTAATATTCCATGTATTATGAACATACGCTTAAACTTAAAATTTAAACACAGTATTAATCTTTTAATTTTTTCTTTGATGCAAAGTATGCAATGATTTTTTAGTCTGTAATTTTAAATAATGTTGAAGTTAGGCAATTTTCCACATATATTATCATTTTAAGAAATATTAGTTAAGATAAACAATTTTGCTATATTCTGATCATCTTAACATGCATACAATATTTTTTTATCTGCTGAGAATCTTTTAATATTGGGGAAAAAGAAATCCATTATTTTTTCACTAGACGGCTGTAGTGATACATATCTCATAAAATATTGATGACACAAGTTCAGACTTGTACTTATTGGAAAAGTGACATTCTGTACTAAAAAAAATTCTTTTACAGTTTTTTGATTGGTCAATTCAGTTGTGAGTTATAGGGTGTAAAAGATGGAAGTTAACAAAGAGAAAATTAGGTATGTTTTACAATTTTGCTTCGATAAAGGCGAAAATGCAAGCCAGGCAGCTGAAATTGTGAATGGTGTTTATGGTCCTNTTAAAACATGACTATGTTATATTACATTAAATGAAACAAACCAAAAACACTAAAAACACTTACATTTTTTCATTAAGTACACAACAAAAATTGTTTCTTATTTTGCTTTTTTCACAAACTAGGGGGTAGGAGGGTAGACCGTTTTAGAAACATCAATTTATGTTTTAACTTAAATACTATGCATACCATGTTAATATGTAAAATACAAATAAAGATTGCTAAAGTTTAACTCGAAGGAAAAATTGATACTAAGGACAGATGAATTCAACGTCTGTTCTCCAGATGTCCAGCCTGCAAGGTGGGGACTTTTCACTCCTCTATCCCCTGACCAAGTGATCCCTTCCCCTGGTTCTCCGAATTTTTGACCATTGCAGATGTGGGGGTTAAGGGGAGTGGTACACACAAACATTTAAAAAACATTTTTTTATAAAAAATTAAAATATTATTCTTTCCATTTTTACATTTTTCATTACACATGGGTGTATAACAGACACAGTAAAAACTATTGACATAGTAACAAAAAATCCATACGTATAATATTGGGGAAAAAGAAATCCATTATTTTTTCACTAGACGGCTGTAGTGATACATATCTCATAAAATATTGATGACACAAGTTCAGACTTGTACTTATTGGAAAAGTGACATTCTGTACTAAAAAAAATTCTTTTACAGTTTTTTGATTGGTCAATTCAGTTGTGAGTTATAGGGTGTAAAAGATGGAAGTTAACAAAGAGAAAATTAGGTATGTTTTACAATTTTGCTTCGATAAAGGCGAAAATGCAAGCCAGGCAGCTGAAATTGTGAATGGTGTTTATGGTCCTGATACTGTCACAGCCAATTATGTGCAATTTTGGTTTCGTCAGTTCCGTTCTGGTAATTTCGATGTTAAAGATGCACCTCGCACAGGTAGGCCCGTTGTCGAAAATGTCAATAAAATCATGGAAATGATAGAAGTAGACTGGCACGTTAGCACTCGTAGCATTGCCCAGGAGCTAAAGATTGACCATAAAACAGTTCTAAACCATCTGAATAAAGCTGGATTCAAAAAGAAGCTTGATGTTTGGGTGCCACATGAATTGACGGAAGAAAACATTATGGATCGAATTTCCATCTGCGAAGCCTTGGCCAAACGGAACGAAATCGACCCATTTCTTAAACGGATGGTGACTGGGGATGAGAAATGGGTTACATATGGCAATATTGTGCGATAACGATCGTGGTCAGTGTGGTGAAGCGGCTCAAACGGTGGCTAAACCAGGACTAACAGCCAGGAAGGTTTTGCTGTGCATTTGGCGGGACTGGAAAGGAATCATCTACTATGAGCTGCTTGCATATGGCCAAACACTAAATTCGGACCTCTACTGTCAACAATTGGACTGTTTGAAGCTAGCGATTGATCAGAAGTGGTCAGAATTGGCTAACAGGGGAGGTGTTTTACTTCATCACAACAACGCCAGGCCACACACATCTATAGTGACTCGCCAGAAACTCCGGGAGCTTGGTTGGGAAGTTTTGATGCATCCACCTTATAGTCCAGACCTGGCACCAAGCGATTACCATATTTTTTTATCATTACAAAATTTCCTTGGTGATAAGAAATTGGCATCAAGAGAGGATTGCGAAAATCACTTAATCAAGTTTTTCGCCATTAGGGACCAGGGCTTCTACAAGAGAGGAATTATGAAGTTACTTTTAAAATGGCAACAAATTATAAAACAAAACGGTGCATATTTGATCCAAGTCGAACAACCGAAACCATGTTAAATAAAGACTTGAAATGAACGTAAAAATAATGGATTTCTTTTTCCCCAACCTAAT